CCGGTAATAAAACGGAGGCAGCTCTACCCCCCCCCCCCCCTGCTATAGTGCCCTGACTGTCCACCGCAGCGCCTTCGGCGCGAACAAAGTGGAATAAACATGGTTTCATTCATTCATTCATGCCTAATAACCCTCCCCATCAGCTCTTCTCCTCTCGGAAAAACTAGTGTAGTGTATCTGTATTATATTTCTTATTAGCGTCTACGTGGTCACTTACTGCAAGTGTATCGGGTAAGCTCACCGTGAAGATCTTATACAAAAGAAAAAAACTGCCACGTTTTGGGCGAGCACTTGTCTCCTGTATTGTGCGGGATACGGCTTCGTCTCACAAGCATAGATTTTTAAAATGGAAACAGTGCACACACACAAAAAAAAAGGACGACAAGAAAGAGTGCTGTGTGTCGTTTCCTTTTTTCCTTGTCTACATCTTTTTTTCTGCCCTGCGTTTCTTCAAATATGTATATGTGCACCACAACTCGGCCAACTTGCCATTTTGTCACAAGCATGCATTTGCTGCTTGGCGTTGGAGGCCTTACGTGCATATACGCACATGACACTATAGTTACTTATACTTCACCAGTTTTATTTTAGAGAACTAAGGTGACTTTGCTGCGAAAGTTACCATTCCTTGATCAGCTGCGACTGTTTTACTATTGCTAATTCTGGAGACCCTTTTAATCTTGATTACGAACCGCGCACGGGAGCCATATTCGATGTTGCTACACCATTTCACTCACGACAATGAAACTTTTTTTCTTGGCGCTATCACGTGGTGACATGTATTTCAAGCAGCATACCAGAATGCACCCTTAGCCAACCGCAGAAGTTGAGCGTTGACTCGAATGGCACGAAACTCCAAGAAATTATGAAAATATAAAAAAGGGCCCAACAGTTAAAAGTTCAAGAGTTGTGTAGAATACATACTATATCGCAGCATAAGGTTCAGATGAGGGCTAATTAAATGTCAGGACAAATAATTAAAAAAAACGAATGAATTCCCTGAAAGAACTGAAGGTTTTGCTGTGAGCATCTGGGATCGTTGCACCACCTGGTGGATCAGACTTCAACCGTGCGCACCTTTCTGAGTGGCCTCTGTGATTCGCTTCAGCAGCAGGACGGCTCGCTGCCAGAGTTGTTTCAAAAGACTACGTGATTTAGAGCAGCTCAACTCGTAGAGTGCACTTGAATTATTGAATGAGCTCAATAAAAGGGCATAATGTTTTCCACCGGGTATGTGCCATCAAGATGGCACGTCATCATCATCATCATCAGCCAGACTATACGCCCACTGCGGGGCAAAGGCTCCTTCCATGATCCGCCAATCAACCCGGTCTTGTGCTTTCTGCTGCCACGTTATACCTGCGAACTTTTTAGTCTCATCAGCCCACCTAGCTTTCTGTCTCCCCCTCGGTCGTTCGCTTTCTCTGGAAATTCATCGGTTATACTGCTTACGTGCTACGTGCCCGGCCCATGTCCATTTCTTCTTGATTTCAACTATGATATCCTTCACTCCGGTTTGTTTTCCGTCTCACTCTGCTCTTTTCTTGTCTCTTAAGGTTACACCTATCATTTTCCTTTTTATAGCTCGTGGCGTCGTCCTAAATTTAAGCTGAACTTTCTTTGTAAGCCTCCAGGTTTGTGCTCCGTAGGTAAGTATCGGCAATATGCAGCTGTTATATACCTTGCCACTGAGGGTTAGTGGCAGATTACCACTCATGATTTTAGAATGCTTACCGAATGTGATCCACCCCACCCTTATTCTTCTAGTTATATACTATACGCAGGACGACGCAGCGAGATATGGAAAGGAAAATGATAGGCGTAACCTTAAGAGACAAGAAAAGAGCAGAGTGAGTCAGGGAACAAACCAGGGTAAAGGATATCATAGTTGAAATCAAGGAGAAGTGGACATGGGCCGGGCACATAGCACGTAGGCAGGATAACGCTGAATGGTTCGTTTTCGCGGTTACTACCTGTTCTAAGTATTTATATTCTAACTTCCAGCATCTCTCCACCTATCACAAAATGCCGTATTCTGCCGAGACTGTTGCACATTATTTTAATTGTGCATAATAATTTTCAGACCTACTCTTCAGCTTTCCGTGTTCAGTTCAGTAATCGTGATCTGTAATTCGTCCCCTAACATACTCTCTATTAACTCGTATCCTTAACTCTTCCCAATCTAGGGCCCTAGAAACCTCCTGTAAACACGTGGTGAATAACATTAAAGAGATCGTGTCTCCTTGCCTTACACCCTTCTTTATTGGGATTCTGTCGCTTTCTTTATGGAAAACTATGGTGGCTGTGGATCCACTGTAGATTTCTTCCAGTAAGTTTATGCAGTATTCAGCCATCCCCTGATTCTGTAGTGTCTGTATTACTGCTGATGTCTCGACTGAGTCAAACGCCTTCTCGTAATCTGTGAAAGCTATTTATAAGGATTGGTTGTACTCCACGCATTTCTCTGTTACCTGATTGATAGTATCAATATGGTCTATTGTGAAGTAGCCTGTACACAATTCTGCTTGGTCCTTCGGTAGATTGAGCTCTAATGCAGCCTTAATTCTATAAGGTTTTATTTTTCTAAGAAGTTTGTAGAGAACAGATAGTAAGCTGATCGGCCTGTACTTTTTCAAGTCCTCGACGTCTTCTATCTTATAGATTAAGATGATGTTGGCGTTCTTCCAAGATTCTGGTACCCTTTCCGCCAAGAGACACTTCGTATAAAAGGTGGCCAGTTCCACCGTCTTTCAGCTAATCCGTTGGTGCTTTATCATCACCAGTGGCTCTACCTGTTCGCATTCCTTCTAGGGCTTTCCTTATATACTTCCCCTGTCATTACTGGTTGAATGTCGGATTCTTCTGGGTTATTATTGCTTGTTACGATATCATCCTGGTTGTTTCGGCTTCTGTACAGCTCCCTGTAGATCTCCTCCGCCACCTCAACTATGCTGTCCATATTGGTTATAACATTGTCTTCCTTGTCCCTAATGCATACATCTGATTTTTGCCTGTTCACAAGTTTGCCTTCACAACGTTTGAGCTTCTGTCGTTTTCTACAGCCTGCTCAACCATCTCCATGTTATACCTTATGATGTCGGCTACCCTACGCCTATTGATTAACTTCGAAAGCTCCTCTAGCTATATATATTGTCGGTTCAATTTGAGGCTTTCACGGTTTGTCATCTCTTAATGAGATTTTTTGTCTCCTGAGATGGTTTGCCGTGCTCACCAATAATTGTTCTCTTTTACTCTAAAGTCAGTCTACCCAAGTCAACCAAAACGTCGCCAAATGCTGAGGACTAGCGCCATTAAAGAACATTGAGGTCGCCTTAAAATTTTTTAATGATAGGCACCTAGTTGCCTCGATAGTCTGGTTCGTAATAGTAAAATGATGCGATATACTTCGGCTTCCAACAAAAATGATAGAAAAAAGACTGTTTTAATGCTGAGTTTTTAGTGTAAAGAGATCCTGCTGCATTAATTCTGGAGACAGAAAATCGCCTGTATAAATGTATATACTGCAGTTAAGAACGTCCGAGCAGCGAGCGTGCACTTTCAGCAGTGTGCTTAGCGTTCAGCTGCTCGAAAGTCGAGTGCTTCATTAAATGATAGAGCCGGGTGGGATGAAGCAGCTATGCAATGGGTGAAGCGTTTCAAATAGATTACAGTAGAAGCAATAGCACCCTCCGCGTGGGCTTGGACGTCGGCTTGTTTCTTTCTACGCGGTGGGATTCACTAGCGGACAACCTTTTCCTTATCATATCACCTTCGACGTCCTGCACCCAGGGCTCACTAGGTTATTGGTGAAACACTACTGAACGCAACATTGCCAAGTATACGTCGTCCCTTTTACTCCGTATACTCTCGAATAGGGTCCATTTTTGTGGCGAGTTAAGCGAATGAATGTGCGTTATGAAGAAAGGTATGGAGAGCGCAGTAAATAAACAGCGAATCGCTCTGTCATTTAGTTCTTCAATGGCGCATCAATATACGCGGTTCTTGTCAGTATTACCTGTCCGAAGTTGGTCCTTTCTGCAGCAGCGCTCATTGTGCACGGGCTATGCATTCTTCATGAGAGGCACGAAAACAAAAAATAACGCTGGAAGGTGCTGCTGAAACTCTATTTGTAGTATTAAAAGCCAAAAAATTCGAAAGAAAAGACGGCTCGAAGAAAAGAAAAGGCGAGAAAACACAAGCACACCTACTTGCCGCCAGAGATTACGCTACCGCCGTTTTCGTGACAGACAAGACATCCATAAACTAAAATATTGCAAAATTTCGCTCCTCCTCCTTTTCTCTCTTTGTTCCCAGTCGGTGTGGAGTTTTCCATTTTGCCCACCTCAGTTACTTTTCGTTATTGTCTTTATATTTTCTGTTTTGTTATTCTCACGTCCGTTTTCTTCATCGAATACACCTCGCCTATCTTTTATCTATTCATACCTAATGATGAAAACGAGTAAGAACATTTTCTTCCCTCTCACTCACTCGCTGCACGAACCGTCTTCACAAGGTCAGTCAGAATTTCAAGTGACAAGGCATAAAAATTGTTCATATCATCACAATTTCCTTCTTAATCACACACGACGGTACAGTTCTGTTCAACACATCGTAGTTTGACTCGTACTTCTTTTTTTAAATTACTCAAGTAAAATGAATTTATTTTCGCCTTCCTCCCACGCCTAACTATGAGAATTAAGCTGATGCAGTGCTATGCGTGCTCGTGGAGCGCAGCCCAATGTACATAGCATATGCCCACAGGTTGAAAGGCGGGTGACGCCAACCACCAGGAGACCGGTGCCTGCCGGCCATCGAGCTTCTCGAGCGACTTGAGGCGTAATCGACTAATCCGACAGAGCCGCGGGGAGAGGTGCAGCGGATTAAGAAAAACAAGACCGCTCAAACGCCTTCGGCTGCCAGTCCGCCTTAGCGCCGCAGCCCGTCTGTTTCCGTCAACGTCATGTTGGAAAACTCGCGTCCGCAGAGAAAACAAGTTGGACATGGCGTCCGGTAAACGCGCTGTGTGATCTAAGCTTGCGCTCGAAAGGGAAAAACGCATACTACACCCGGTTGCAGGTAGTTGCTTGTTTGAATGTTTTCAGGTGGACGATACGCCGGCATGCTGTTACTTTGCATCGTGCAAAAAACACTCGCTTATTCTCCCTCGCTTCTTTTTCAGTGACGTGCCTTGCAAAGAACAACTTCGACGATGAGGTCTTCGTGATAGGAACCGAAGGAGGAGGAGTTCTTCAAGGATCCCTCAGTCTATCGAGGCCGATAGCGCGTAAGACTTTTCACATCATGCATGCCCTTCCAATGCGACATATACTTTTCGGAAGCGGAGACCTGAGGATTCCGGGAGAACCATTTTGTTGTTGTTGTGCACGTAAGCTAATTTTGCGCGTCCCAAATCTACGCCTCAACGTACTTAGGGAGTGGAGGTGCTGTTTTAAAGCTAAAGCCAGCCGTTGCCATCTCACTAGAAGAATCGAACGGATTAACGTTGTATAAAATATGTCGTAGAACAGAAAAGATTTTTTTGCCAACTACCACAACACAATGTTATGGCGTCTAGCAAGAACAAAAAAAAAGCTTTATCTTCTAGTTACCAGCGGATTTAACAAATGTGCTTTTTCCATGTAAATGAAACTCAATGTGCGTGTACACTATTGATTTTATTACGAATCTTGAATGTCATGGTAAATAGTACGGAATATTATGATATCCGTAATCAGTCAATGATATTTAGCCCGCAACAATCATCTGTTATAGTATTCCAGTTAGTCTGGAATATAACAGATGGAATATAACTGGAATATAACAGGTTAGAACCCGCCCACTTTACCGCATTCTGTTTGACACAACGACCCCATATGGTGTATCAAGTTGAATCAATATATCCCGAGGAAAGGGTGGACGCTCTAATTCGCAACCATTAAATTTGCTCAAGTTTTACCATCCTTCGCCCGACTAAATTTGCCTGTATTTGAATGGGGCTCTTAAATACGAAGTTCGCTGGTTCACAAACACTGACTCTAGTCACACTGTTCGGCTGGTCTGTCAAGGTTATCAGTAACATGGTTAGTACGGAGCCTGAAAATGGAACTGCAGCGAAGCTACACGTTCACGTCTTTGCAAAACTTCGACGGCATGAAGGTGACGTTATCTATTGAACTATTTCAATCATCTCGGAGGTTTAAACAACCTTCTCACCCATAGTGTAACTACCGATTTAACCATTTAACAAATAACTCGTTGATCGTGTAAGCAATGTTAAACGAAGTGCGGATAAATGATCTCCTGCCAGTTTAGCTTGAGTGACGTGCCGGTGATTATAGTGATTCCGGAAAGAAGTGTATGCATTCCAATCTACAGGCACCTGCAAAGAAAAAAAAGGGGGCGGGGCGGGATATGATGGCATGGAACTCACACTGCATAATAAGCTAGTATATACGGTACGGCTAAGGTGAGAGACGTTGTGAGATAGAGTGACGAGTTCGGCTCCTGCAGTGGTAAATAATAAAATCATCTAAGACGAGTTGCGTAATCGTAATTCATGACATCAGGACAGCTGTAATTCAAGCTTTAAGGCCCCCGATACTCAAGCACAACAGCACTCGTTGAGTATATATAATTCGTGTCGCACAACTTGGAACAGCCTGAAGTGTACTGCAGAAGTTCGCTTATTGGGGATCAAAGATTGTGCAAGCGTATTTGAGTTTTCGTAGGACGAATGTTTTATGGTGTAATAACCTTACAATGGAGAGTTCTATGGACAAATTACACTGTGAGCACCCAAGAGAAAGGTTAGCAGAAATTGTTATGGGTACAACTTGTTCAGTCCAAATTATTCGCGACAAATGACGACTACTAAGTATTGAAAAGAGTCGGCGTCAGACGACTTGCGTAATAAAAGTTGTTTTGAAAATACTATAGAAAAACGTAGTTTCTATGGCGTTGATATGAAAATTATCATATCAGGACCTGTTCATATTCAGGGACATTGTACTGCCGTTCACCGTTTATGTATTCGCAAAAAGTCATCCTGGAAAGTATGGGCATGACAGAACAATTTTTCGTGGCTTTATACACTCACACTCATGTCCAAAAGGCAGGCGTAACACAAGACGCTAGACAGAAGGTCATCTTTGTAAACAAGAAAAAAAAAAACTTGGCAGATTCCACGTACCTTGGGAATCGACGTTATGCGAAGCAAGCGGAGAGAAGCTGACCATGTTGTAATTTTTTATTGAGCGCAACATTGCGAAATGACGCTAAATATATGTACAAATGTTACACACACAGACATAACCAGTTGTTTGCACTTGCTCAACGATGCCTTCAAGAACATGAGTATCAGCAACACCATAAGCGATAAGCTCATATGAAGCGCTGTTGCTCGCGAGAATGGTAGCCCTGGACACTGCTAGATAAATTAACCGCATCGGATGGCGCCTCATTTCAAGTGATTGATATGTGGGGTTTAACGTCCGAAAACCACCATATGATTATGAGAGGCGCTGTAGTGGAGGGCTCCGGAAATTGCGACCACCTGGGGTTCTTTAACGTGCACCCAATTCTGAGCACACGGGCCTACAACATTTTCGTCTCCATCAGAAATGCAGCCGCCGCAGCCGGGACTCGATCCCGCGACCTGCGGGTCAGCAGCCGAGTATCTTAGCCACTAGACCACCGCGGCGGGGCGTTTAACTTCAATTGACGTTAACCCGACGTGACGGCTGTATCTTAGGAGTATATATGTAACGCTTATAAAATTGGACAGCCAGCACTGCAACCACAATTGACGTTTCACGAATATCAGGATCTACTTGAAAAGTAGTTCCGAGACATCGCGTGGCTCTGTGGTAGAATACTTGATTGCCTCGCAGAATGCTTGAGTTCGATTCCTGCTGGGACCCTTGCATATAGGTTCTTGCCCCGCCGTGGTGGTCTAGTGGCTAAGGTACTCAGCTGCTGACCCACAGGTCGCGGGACCTAATCCCGACTGCGGCGGCTGCATTTTCGATGGAGGCGAAAATGCAGCAGGCCCGCGTACTCAGATTTTGGTCCACGTTAAAAAAACCCCAGGTGGTCGAAATTTCCGGAGCCCTCCACTACAGCGTCTCTCATTATCATATGGTGGTTTTGGGACGTTAAACGCCAGATATCCATCAATCATTTAAGGTACTTGCATTCGTCGGGTCAACGCTGCCGATGTTGGCTTTTCTTAACGCTCACGCGCTCAATTGCCCACGAGTGTTCTCGCAGTTTTTTGGTAGATACTGAGGGTCAATTACCTGTGGCACGTACCCGCATACCAGTGGCACATACTCACCCGCGGCTATGTACTACTGTTAGGCGGAAAGTGTTGAGACAAAAAGTTAGGTGGGCAGATGATATTAATAATTTTGCAGCTATAACGTGACAGCGTGCCGAAAGCACAGGACCAAGTTGATTGACGAAACATGGGAGAGGCCTGCAGTGAGCGTAGTCAGGCTGACGAACGAACAAACGAACGAACAAGCACATGGGCGGCTAACGTTTTTCCTCCATCGAAGGCCAGGATTTGATCCCACGACTTGCAGATCAGCAGTCGAGCTCCAGTACCTCTACACCACCGTGGTGGGTGACGAAGAGCTCCTATACGACAAAGAATCAGATACTTGTTTAAAGTAGCCTTTTGACAGGCAGTGCACTCGTAGTTGTCACATTAGCTGGGGTACTTGCACGTCAACTCGACATTGCAATCATCGCTGCATATTTCGGTTAGGCATTTTTCATAATTGTTGCCATAATCCAGATTATCTTTTTGCCACTTCATAGCTGCCGTTCTTAAGCGCTGCTTTTTTAATTAGAACATGCACCAGCTGCAGCAGCTTTCTCGACAACGGCTTAGTTTTCACATGATCTGGTATTGGTTATAATATTCATTTTCATGTCCATGAATACAAGATTGGGGAGATTAATGTGTGCCCTGTCGTCCATTGGTTAATGTTGCTTTTGAATGTTTTGCTTATTTACGCGATATGCAGTTCATTTTCCCTGAAGTTTAAGCTCTCAGCTGCAGGCAAGAACAACAAAAAGAGAGAGAAAAAAAGAAACTCACGTGATATTTCGGAAGGCGCCGAGCCAAAATTGGGAATTTAAGCACAAAACACCTCATTTTTTTAAGTCTTAGGAAGACATTCTTCACAAAACGTTCGAACTTTTTTCTTCTTCGTTACAGCCGTAGTCAACGACCACGCTTCGATAGAACGCACCTACAGCTGCCCCATCGTGGCACGATTCCCTCCCCACCGCGGCCACACGCTGGACGTCCACTCGTCTCCCTTCGAGAGGAACGTGTTTGCGTCGGGAGGCATCGACCGAGAAGTCAAAGTGTACAGCTTGCTACAGGTAATCCTATCCGGTGTAAAGCTGGAAAAAGAGGCCATCGGAGAGTGTTCCTGCAGTAGAGTTCTTGAATGGGCTGGTTGGTGCATCATACGAAATGGAATAACGCAGTGCTTCAGACTTGATAAAGACGACAGTCGCAGGGCTGACTAACAACCAGTTTGTTGCTCGTCATCGCACGTCCGTCATCTTCAGTCCGTCTTGTGCAAAATGCTTTGTTACTTTTCATCGAGGGTTACTATACAGAATGCATACCGACCGCGGCGGTCGCATTTCGATAGAGGCGAAACGCTAGCGATATGCGTATACTGTTCAATGTCATTGCACGTTAAGGAACCACATGAACACTAAAAGGGTACGGGATTGAGCTTTTGGTGTGGCTTCGTGACTGCGAGCAGCGCGAAGAACGAGGACACAGAAACGAACAGGACCAAGCGCCGACTACCTACCACGCATTGACGGTACGTTGAGTGCAAAAAAGATGTTGTATACGGAACTCCTTTCCCATGTGGAAAGGAATACGTTGGTCAGACGGGTCGCTGCATAAATGTGCGCCTTCGTGAACATGAGAGTTCACTAAAGGGGGCCGCTTACTCACACTTAGTGATGCACTGCAAGGAGTGCACCTGCCAACCGAAATTTTCCGACACACGAATAATTGACAGGCGCAACAAGCGGACGACGAGAGAAATAATGGAAGCGTATAGAATAAGGAAAGGAGGGTACAGTTGCGTCAGCCAAGCGTCAGTTCTACTAACAGATGCGGAATTTGATTTTTTGCACGTCACATAACCCAGTGTTTTTCTACTTTTTATGTTTTTTTGTTTCTTTGTTTTTTACGTTTTCTTTTCTTAGTTCTTGGCACGTGTTTGTTTCCGGTTGTGGGCGCGTGCATTTTTTGTCATATCACGTTGTTGATGATGACAAAGGAAGTCGGGAATGACGTACATGCGTGTAATGTATTTATTAGTGTTCGCTTCAAAATGAAATTTTCAGTTGCTAGTAAGCGCTTGTCTGTGTCCTCTCTGAGTGTGTGTATTTTTGCGCTTGTCTCATCATGAACCTTTACCAACACGCCCAACTGGCAGTCATCCTAAATGGTTAGCATTGTTGATAACGTATTCCGTGCACACTTTCCAGGAGAGGCGACGTGTCACGTGAAGACTAAGCTATTTATTTCAATTTACGTCATAGAGAACAGCCTTGTTGAAGAAGTGAACGCGGCCCCCCCCCCCCCCCCGCGGTGGTCTAGTGGCTAAGGTACTCGGCTGCTGACCCGCAGGTCACGGGATCGAATCCCGGCTGTGGCGGCTGCATTTCCGATGGAGGCGGAAATGTTGTAGGCCCGTGTGCTCAGATTTGGGTGCACGTTAAAGAACCCCAGGTGGTCGAAATTTCCGGAGCCCTCCACTACGGCGTCTCTCATAATCATATGGTGGTTTTGTGACGTTAAACCCCGCATATCTATCAATCAAGTGAACGCGGGGGATTATTACTGGAGAACCCACAAGAATTATGCATGGTTTAGCATTTTCAATGTTTAGTTCTATGAGTTGATTATCACACCACTCAGATATATTGTGGAGATATTGGTATAAATTCACAGAGTCAATGTTGTTGGCAATTTTATTGTAGATCACGCGATTCCCCGAACGCTGTGATTAAAAAAAAAGAAACTCCGTCCTGATGGTCATTAGCATAGCCGAGAATGAGCAAACGCTTCGATACTGATCCTTGCGGGACGCTAAATTAATACCGGTGAGCTGATGGGGCATCATCGCCAACTGTTACGTATTGGTGCCGAGGAAGCCTTTAATTCATGCTAATATCAAGGCCTCACTGCTATTATGGTCGTTTTGTGGAATAGCTAGTTAATCGCGAAATACTCAAAACCTTTTGAGGCGTTCCGAACGATTGCGAATCACACAGTGTATTCCACAACAGCAGTGCGAAGTGAGTATTCATGGAGGCAGCTTGACGCATGCTCTGATCGCAGTTGGAGCCAGTGCTGACCATTCAAGTGGCAGAAGCGGCCACGAGGGTCCGCTGGTCCCCCTCGCAGCCGGCATTGCTGGCAGCGCTTCAGGGCGACGGCCGCCTTGGCTTCTACGATCTGCGTCGCACAACATCTCCCGTGGCAGAGTTCCCACCACGCTGTGAAGGTGGCGCCAGCACTAGCCTCGAGTACTGCGCGCACAGGTAAAGCGACAAAGCGCTGCTTCTAAGACGTTTCACCGTGACATCTCGAAAACGCAGGCAGCGTTCTGCTCTGGCAAGTATACGGCCGAGCACGCTTGTCCATGAATTAGGTCCGACAGTGGGGCGCATTGAGTTGCAAAATAGGCACGGAAAGAATAGCCAAACCTGACAAAGGTGCCGGAGCTTCTCTTCATCGCCTTCCAAGCCCATCATGTGGGCCGAAATAACGATATAAAGCCGTACTGTAGTTGTGCACGTTGAATCTTCTTGTGCTCCACTTTAATGGCTCCCCTTTTTTATAGACATAACAAAGACGTTTTCAACTACTGCTTCGAAGGACAGTGCGTAGGCTTGCTCTGGACAAATGTCAGCCTAACATTTTTCACCACTTTTCAGTAGAACAGACTAGCTCCGAAAATAGAAATAAGCAGACAACATCGCTCTGGAAGTGCTTTAAACCTGCTTTTGTAATACAGCATAAGAAGTATCGTTAACAGCGAGACATTCTCTAAAACAGTGCTCCTGTACTTATGTTGAAATCCTGCGAATACCAAGCTATTCCATCTCAAGCTATAATCGCCTACAAACAAACAGGAGAATTCGTTAAGTGCAACTCTGACTACGGGATAGCAATCAATCAATCAATCAATATTTATTTATTTATTTATTTTTGCCATCAACAATGCAACGTTAAAGGTGCGATAAGTATGAGGCCAGAGACAAGTTGCATTGACGAACATGGAGGTACTTTTATAACGCAAACACAGACACACCACAAATTAAGAGACGACACCCACAAGCGGTGGCTAGCAATTGATTTTATTTTGGGAAAGGCAATGCATATATACCTCCAAGGCAGTCATACCACACATGCGTCACGCAATGAACAAAAAAAAAAACACATACAAAATGGTAATCTGAGTTGATAGATGAAGCAGTGTATTACATACGCGAAGAAATGAAATCAAACTCGGATCTCTTTCTTTGTGGTGTGTCTGTGTTTGCGCTGTAAAAGTACCTCCAACTAGGCCCAAAAGAAGTTTTACTGCATTGACGAAGCTGGACTAAGCTCCGTGCTCCTTTTTTTTTTTTTTTTTGATCTGATGAGAAATTCGTGAACACTGGGTGCGAGTCGACGCTTCGACAAGCGTACCTGCCTTCTTCAAGAGTGGAGCTTGTCGAAGCGTCTGATGTAGCAACAACCAGCGATCACGAATTGTTCATCGCTTTTAACTTCCCTCTTCTCTTGGACATTTTTTTCTGAGCTGCAGTTATACCGATGACACATAAATCAAGAAATAAATGTTAAAACCTCGAGTGTTTCAACTTTAGTGCGGCGAACAGACTTCATTGCGTCCGTAGAATATTATCTCGCGCACGTCAGCAATGAATGATTGTTTTAGGGGTGACCACTGCCGCCTTCTCTTTCAAATTGTGAAGGAAATCTGACGCTGCACTAACACTTCAGGAGTGGTAACTTTTCATTTTGAGCGAGGTGCGCACTTTGTACGCTATCGCTTTCTGACTGGTGACATCGCGAGACACTGAACGGGACAGCGAAGAAAAGTGAGCGTCTCATAGCCGCAGTTGACATCTTAGCACCGTAACGACCCCATGAAAAAAAAAAAAATCAGGTTATATGTACGCGCGACTACTGTACTCTGTTTCACACATCATGTGCAACGTTGTGGAAGCTAGCGAGACTCCTTGCAGTCGATGCGGTCGCATCAAAAAGTAGATCAATGTTCTTAGCACCACTTTTTTATTTTTCTTTTCTTATCACGGCGAAAAGGAATTGAAGATATTATGTGCCTTACAAACAAAAACTCCGCTGAACGTCTGTTGTTATGTGGCTGTATAATTTAGATTTCATGGGACGTCTCATGCAGGCTTCGAATAACGCGTTCGATGCTCGAATAACGCGTTCGAGCTTTGAACGCGTTATTCGAAGGTCGTAGGTTCGATTCCTGCTCAAGGCTGGTTATTTTTTCACCCACTTTTCTTTCTTCTTATTGACACATTGACATTCCATTTGTCCTAATAACTTCCCCTGTACATTACTTGGCATTACTGTCTGTTAGATCTTATATATATATATATATATATATATAATATATATATATATATATATATATATATATATATATATATATATATATATATATATATATATATATATATATATATATATATCGCGCAATGGGTTTTTGTGCCAACATTCTGTTCTCATCAAAGCTCTTTTACTGGTTTTAGCCTTCCATGTGCCTTCTGCATTCAAAATGCAATGGTGAATGTTATGACATCTAGTGTGGATAACTTAACTAATTTGGAATTTAAACCTCTGCCAGTTACAGGTAGTGCTGGAAATCGAATATTTTTCTTAAAAAACAAAAAATAATCGAGGTCAACAGCACTGTTAGTTTTGGGTTTTGGTGTTATATTGTATTACCGTGACGTTGTAGATGTAAAGTGGCAGCTTCCGTATTAAGGCGTTGTTCTGCTAAGCTCGAGGCTGCCAAGGCTGGATTGCGATGTATACAGGAGAAGTGTTGTGCACATTCATTTTATTCTTGGCCGTGGCGGCCATGAATGGCATCCAACCCGTGTGTGCATGTGTGTTCGTGAGTGTGTGAAAGAGACACAGCTAGAGATTGTGTGTCTTTGTGTGAGGCCCTAGTTCACTATGTTTTTGGGCGCCATAAGAGCTCTTTGCCACTACCACGTGGCACGTCTCTGTATTTATGACAGGGCTATTTTGTGGCATTGGAGTGTTACGAAACGCGTGTTCACGTGCCCTTTGTGAATCGGGACCACGAGTGCTTCGTGAAACTGCCCTTTCACTCCCCCATAACTGGAAGTGCATCAAAGGGGAGTCCGTGCACATTCCGTCTGTCTCTAACTCTTCGAGGACTATCGTTTGTAAATATGCTGCAGTAAGAATTAGAGCCGCACTTTCTTAGGGAATTGTCGCTTGGTGTAAAGACTCGCGTGCATTTTTCATGTGCAGCCCAGACCTGCTCTTAGTTGGACGCGGGTCAGGCAACACGGAAGTCTGGCAGCTGGGTTCCAAGCTGGTGGCTGCAGGCGAAGTGAACCAGAGTGACGTCATCAGGGATGTGGCCAGTGGCGCCTTCGTTTCCGAGTAGCCCACGCTCCCTGGTAGACAGCCATCACCCTGTGCACTGGCGGTACGCTTTTGTATGGTTTGCTATTATTTTGTTGGATATACGTTAGTTTTCTTCACATCCGAGTTGCTTATAGCTCCTAGGTGACCAATGACAAGATCACAAACAGGGGTCAAATTTACCAAGTCTTTTTTTATTTAGTGTTGTCTACCCAACTGGCTGGTCGCTTTCGCTGACGACATGCCCAGCGTAAGGATTAGCTAGTATTTTAACTTGCGAACAATTCACCGTAAGAGAATTCTGCAATTACGCGCCCAAAAAGTCATATACACAATTTCTATTTTTTTTTTGTGTGCTCGAAGTGCTTTATCGTCAGAGTTTGGTCTCCTCGCTAAAGTGGGCTAGAAATGGTTGTGATCTTGACTGCTGATTTGCAGGTCGCGGGGTCGAACGCGAGTGCATTTTAATGGAAGCCGAATGCTATAGAGGCCCGTGTGCTTATACTTAAGTGCAGTTTCAAAAACTGCAAGTGGTCGAAACTTCTGAAGCCCTCCACTGCGGTTTCTCTCATCGGCTGATTGTCGTTAATTGGCTGGTCGCATTTTACTGATACATCCGCCGTCAGAATCAGCTGCAATTCGTTTCTACGTGTGCAATTATGGCGTAAGAGCTCTTTGTGACTTCTACCCGAGAAGCTTTGTGAATCGGGCACGAAATCTGGAACACTAAAGGTGTACGACATTTCGCCCTGTTTTATTTATTGCACGTATTTCCTTCCGTTGTGACGTAGCTTCAAATGACGTAAATAATTTAAGCAACGCTCTTGTGAGGGTGCCTCAATCTGCATAGATTGCGTCATCACGAAAAATTGCTTCGAAGGGGTTTAGGTGAAATACCTGAATGCAAGAGAGGGCTGTGGGCCGCCCGTAACCCTGACAACCGCCAGCAGAATCGTCAAGGCGGTAGTGTGGGCTAGTTGCATGGTTGTGATACTGGCATTCATTTGAGTGCAGCGTTGCGTTCAGCGTCATGTTGCGCGTGCGCGCTTGTGCAACGGGTCTTTAGTTTTGTATATTTCCGTACAGTAAAGTCATTTCATGTCTCTAGCATGGGTCCTATCTATTTGTCCTGACTAGTGTCCGCATCTTCATTTTTTTGCGCTGCCGAAATGAATTCCTGGGAGTAGGCGTATGCCGAGGCGTGCATTGCAGTTCAGAACTAAAAAGAGCGTGCAATTTCGATTACGTTCGACTAGATAGGGACACACTAAACGGCAACGGAAATATAGCGGTTCCGTGGCGCTTTGTGACCCGCAGGTTCCGATTCGGCGTTTGGGGTGAGTAACGCGCGCTGTGCGCAGAGTTCAGTTTAGTATGATTTGGACTCGGCAGTCTATATACGAGAGTGCGTGCATGATTGCGACTCGCAGCGAAAAGCCGCCGGCTCTTTTGACGAAAACCGCTCAGAATTAGCTGCAGTGAGCCGCGCGTGCCATGCACGGTGTTTTCCTTTCGGCTGAATAACCTTTCACTCATACTCGCAGATGTCCAGTGAAATTCTTTCGCTCGTGAAAGCGAAGCTGGAGCCTGTGCTGCTCTAATCGGGATCAACATTTCACGGAAAGCGTCACGAATAAAGTACAAAGAAGATGATACGTCGCCTTTGCCCCGCGCGGGGCTGGAACAGTTACCCAAAGAAATGACTGATGAATGTAAAAATAAAGAACAAACTGCACTGCGTCCCATACGATGCGACAGTGTGTACTCGTTGTGTACCGCAGGTATCAAAAACATAGCCATGACGTGAAGGAGACCCGCGATGAGGTGAGTTTCATGAGAATTCACCTCCATGCTTACATTGATTACCGTTCACGCACCATGACATTCAGAACACGGGGACGTACGCGGACATTTAGTGTGTTACGCAAATTTCCTAATGCCGCTGCCATCGGGCATTCGGATGAATGCACCCTATGTCCCTTGGCATTTTATTTGGCTTGCGCTATGTCGCTAAGTACAGTCCACCCCACCCCTACCTCTACGATGAAAGACAGTCGGAAAGATTACTTGGTCGCAGACCAATATTCAAGGTGGCGGCGGGAAAGTCCTCAAGAATGCACACCTGTGCTTCAATTAAATGCTTTATTGAATATGCATAGATTTACTGTTTTCACTGAACCTAAGGGAATCCATTTTTGAAGTTCATGTGTTATGACAAGCGGGCAAACATCTTCTGGAGTATTCCGGCAATTTGTGGCAACTCAGCACGGAACCCCGAGGCAACACTCTGTAAAGGTACTAAGAAATGGTGCCCATAACTGAAGACTCCCAGAACTTGGGTTCCTAGCAACCACTGCTGCAACAAAGAACATGTTTTAAAAAAATGGCGGGATGAAGGGGGGGGGGGGCTTGCTCGGTCATAGGCGTATATTTAGTCTCCCAACCAAGGAAAGGGGGCGCCTGCTCGGGCAGGATATGCCTCTTAAGACCCCAGGATGTAAAAGGGCGAAGGGACGTGAGCGGAACTTGCTTTGACACTGGATCTCCACAATGACGGCGGAGAGGAATTATTCCCGGAGAGCCCTTAATAATTAGAAAATGTTCCTCCCCAAATTAAGCATGTACCATCGGTTATGTCAGTTATAATATACAAATTCAAGGAAATTCGTATTGAGTCAAAAGCCGCAGCAAATTAAAAAAAATAGAAAATGAGGAGGTACACATGAAAAGGAGGAGGGGGGTACTTTACAGACCGTTATTTTGTATCACCCACACGAGCGCGATAATTTTGAAATTTTCGCTCCACAGTGTTAAGAAACGGCGTATATCGGGTGCTCAATTCGTCAATGTCCAGATTCAGGATGTTTTATTCCTATAAATAGATCATATACTCGGATGAAGTGGCAACACTTTATTAGACAAAAGGATTCGGGCTTGTACATCACAGGGTTCTCGCACAATCCCAATGCGCTGTGTGTTGTTGAGTTCGTGCAATTACGTGCCGTGCATGGGTGGCCCGATCAGTGGCGATCTGCTTTGCCAGTCCATCGATCGCAGCAGGGTCTCCTATTCCGTGTGGCCAGTGGCTACGGGCCCAGCGGAACGCCGGGCATTCCAGGACAATGCGTGAGGGTGTTATGGGGGCGGGTGCATTGAGCATAGGACAGGGTGTACGCTCCTGGATAGACTTTCTGTATATAAACTGTACATATACTGTAGAATTTACCCGGTAGTAGACTTACTGTGTTCTCTAAAGGCATACGTCAGCAAAAAAAAAATCGAACTTTCTCAGTGTCACTCGACCAATTAATTTTACTCAGATTACTCTCACATACTCGCCAAAACTTTTTTCAAGTAGACTCACTCGGACTCAGATTCACTAGGCTTTTTTTTTATCAGCAGAACTCACTTGAAATTGATCTCGGACTCGGGGCATGACCTGTGTGAGCGTGAGTCGACTCACGAGTTCGTTCGCGTAAAATTAGCTTTCCCGATAGAAACGCTGATGTTCTTTAACGGCAAAATCCCACATAATCGGTGCCCCACGCTATGCTTTTGCATCTTGTGCCTTAAAATACGATTAATCTATCAGTGCTATCACTATGCTACTCACACAAGGTATTTTTATCAGGAACTTCCCGTGAAAAAACGTTTTCGGGGGAGGTCATAACACCCTTCGTCCCATTTTCAACTCACACTTTCGACCAATAGATTACGAGCTGGTGCATGAACGCTAGTGCGTTAAGATATGTGCGTATGCGTGAATAGACTTGCGTATAAACGTCAGCCAATATAAGGCTGATAGTAATGCTCAAGATGAGTAAAGAGGAGCATAGTTCGGCAATAAAAGGTGAAGCTCATTAAGACTCACTCAAAGAAATATTGCTTGCGCTTGGGGCTCATTCGAACTCAGACTCACCAATATTTTCTCAACCGGACTCACTCAGTATCAGGCCTAATGTGAGTCTGACAGAGTCGACTGATAAGCGAGTTTGTCTACCTATGCCAAAGGTAGCATGTACGGTAAATCTATTCATCCTGGGTAGATACGAGAAAGGAAAAGGAAATAGGTGGTGGGAATGGTGCAGGACTGAAGCTGGGGCATCGGCAGAATTTTCTTCTGGGGGGGGGGGGGGAACCCCTTCAAAGTGGTCATTTTTTTGCTCTGTATGTCATGGATTAAAAAAAAAAGTTGGCGGATCCTTAAGCTTCGCCTTCAAGAGTTGACCGCGGTAGCGATATGCTGTCCAACCACTTAGTGCGTTGTTGCGAACAACGGACCGATCCCACCGAAGCCACCACTGTTGCGAAAGACGGCGACGCCAACACGGCCCCGAAGGCGCCACTGCTTTCAACTCCGCCGGGAAGGTCACCAGCCGTTTGGTAGCGTATGTTTCTCAGCCCGCGACTGCTTCTGCGCAGAGCTGATAAGACGAGCGGACGAGACGACGGTGAGTTAAACAAGGTTTATGTACAGCATATATACAGAGGCGTTACAATTTCGGCACTGGGGCCGACAGAGACTCGAAGAGCCGAGCTCTCCTCTCTAATACATAGGTCAACTTTTCGCCTAAGACCGCTGACTCACACACATGTCGGCTCTCCGACATGGGGACTCCTCTCTCGTAGGACCGCCGATCGCGACGCGCCGCAGGGCTTCTTTTATTTACACCGGGTCCAACCAAAATGTCCAATCAGAAGCGCCGCTGGTCGTCAGGGCAGATTCCGCCAATGGGGGTCGCCGCGCCATGCGTCAGACCACCAGACACGAGGACGCCGGCTCGCTGTCACGTGCGCTGATGACTCAATGCACGTGGGCCAGGGAGGCGCCGCGCGTGTTCACGCCGTCGAGTTGATCGCGCCAGGCGGACTGCGGGCTGGCCTTGACCCAGATTGCCTTTTTCAGAGGCACGGACGTTTGACGAGGACTCGCTGGCATAACAGCACCCCCGCCGCCAGACAATGCACCGGAAAGACGAGCTGCTTCCACGGGGCTCGGATGTCAGGTGCGCTCGTTCGCCAGGTCCCTCCAGGTTCGCCTCCAGGGCCATGGGGAGACTACAGCTCCAGACTGTTCCGGGAACACGTCCCATTTTTGACGACGGATCCCAGCTCCACTGGCTTGTCGCCACAACTTGTCGACCAGCTTCACTCGTCTCTTCTGACCATCTTCGGTTTCAGCACTTGTCGATGGTTCTGCAACTTGCCAAGAACGGATCGACAACAGACAACACACGACACACGCAAGTGCCTTCGGTCACCCGACAGAACACCAGACAAAGTATAGTACAACATATACCTATCTACGTGTTTATCGGAATTTTGTTCCCTCTACATCAAGAGGCACATGTGGGACAAAAGACTCTTAAAGTAGGAACTTGAATTTTTCACACTTACAACAACGCAACGAATTAGAATACCACATAAAGCTGGCCCCTTGAGATCACTCTGAACGAGAGCGCTCAGCCCAGGTCGTGATGAGGTCAAAATTTTGCCCCGAATCGCCAGCCAGAAACCGAAAGGTTGAGAAGTTACTAGCTGGAACGCACTGCTCAATGCACCTGCATTAGCGTTTACCTTTCCTTTTTTTCTTTAGCGAACGTCAAAGTTGCGCTGTGGAGCAACATGCTCCACTTCAGTAACCGGCCACTTTTAGGCGACGATACCTATGCGGCACCAAGAGCGGCTCACACTTTCGACGTTGCACAGGGGAACAACGATACGGCTTGCTACGGATTGACTCCTCACCGCTTAGCTCGATATCGTGTTCGATCACCCTCATGTTTCCGGGGCGGTCCGAAAACACGTCTTCAAACTCGGAACCAATCTTTCTCAGGTCCTCTTTCTCAGGTCCTCCTTCACTTAAGCTAGGCTCTAGGTTTATCTGCTCCCGGATTACTTTCGATCCCCCTTCAATTACCTCACTAGAACTCAAAATTTCTGCTTCCTCTTCCTTTGAAGCATTCAATAACAGATTTACAACCGCTTAATGTTGAACGTATGGTTTCATCAAGTTGTAAATTTTGTCCGGCCGCCTTCCTAATTTCACTTCATAATTTGTATCGCAAGGCTTCGATAATACTTTGGCGGGCCCTTCCCAATCAACCTCAAGCTTGTTCTTTTTGAACGGTTGCAGCAGCATTACCTGACTCCTTACTTCAAAAGCACGCTTTTTCACCGATTCCTCGTAGTGCTCCTTCGACAGCACTTTTGCCGCGTTTTTCTGGCTTTCCACTAGCGCTTCAATCGAGAGGTCCTCACGCTGCTCTCGAATGAGCGTCTCTCGATCAACTCTCGGCAGCTCGCTCCAACTTTCCGCTACAGGCGAGAGCGTTGCAGCCCTCTCGCTCTGACTCAATGGCGCCATGTCGTCTCCCCTTTCTCCGGAAACCGCGCCGGTCGGGTCGGCGACGGGCCGCTCGCGTGACTGCTCACATGACTCATGCGGAAACTTTCCTTTCTGGGGTTCCGTCGACCCGCCGACAAGGTCACTTGAGAGTTCACCGCATGGAACCAGGTCCAGCTTCCGCGAAAGCTTTCGCGCTTGCGATCGCGTGAGGGCCATGCACGCAAAGCTGGGGAAGAACGATTTGCCCTGCTCTTTGAGGAGCTGCTCCGAGTTGTTGGAGAAAAGATAAGGAAAACGATCGTTCAGCGCGGCAGACACAGCCGCTTCGGTGCGAAGCTTACCGAACGGGCCTTCAATGACAACCGTGGCGATTGGTAAGCGAAC